CCGACGCGCGCGCCCTGCCGATCCATCGCCTGCGGGCGAGCGTCGCTACAGGCGGGCGGCCCTCCCCGCGCGCGCGCCAGGCCAATGCGCCTGCGCGGGTCGCGCGGTGGCTGGCGGGCGCCGCGCCGCCGGATTGCGCGCGGCGCCTGGGCAATCGTCCGCGCCCTTCTCGCGCCGCCCCCCACCCTCCGGGGCGCCGCGCTTTTTCCCGGCCCCTGGGCGGACGTGGGGGCCCAATCGAAAATGGATCTGGGACGACGAACCACCCCTGGGGAAGGGGTCGGGAGTTCTGGCGCCGTGGTTCTGGATGGGAGGGAGGGCGGGAACGGAGGGGGAGGATCTCCACCTCTTCTTGGTGCGAAAAATTATCCCGGCAAAGCAACCTAACAGCGATGTGTAGGAGCATATCTGGAAGCATTCCCCTTAAGATTCAGATGAGAATCCAGTTGTAGAATTCTGCTGTTCTCGCAGTCGTAGTCGCATTCGCGATGACAGTCGCAGTGGCAACGGCAGTCGCAGTCACAGCCTCAGCCTCAGCCTGCCTCAGCCTCAGCCTCAGCCTGCCTCAGCCTCAGCCTGCCTCAGCCTCAGCCTCAGCCTGCTTCAGCCTCAGCCTCAGTCTGCCTTCAGCCTCGGCGTCAGCCTCAGCCTCAGCCTCTGCCTCAGCTCTGCCTCAGCCTCAGCCTCAGCCTCAGCCTGCCTCAGCCTCAGCCTGCCTCAGCCTCAGCCTCAGCCTGCTTCAGCCTCAGCCTCAGTCTGCCTTCAGCCTCGGCCTCAGCCTCAGCCTGCCTCAGCCTCAGCCTGCCTCAGCCTCAGCATCAGCCTGCCTCAGCATTCAAAATGTGGCCCGGGAATGGAGTTCTGGGAACTCGAAGAACACGAAGTGGCCTACAGTTGGCTCCGGGCATTCAAAATCATGCCCAGGAATGGAGTTCTGGGAACTCGAAGACACGAAGTGGCCTACAGTTGGCTCCGGGCATCCAAAATGTGGCCCGGGAATGGAGTTCTGGGAAGTCGAAGAGCACGAAGTGGCCTACAGTTGGCTCCGGGCATTCAAAATGTGGCCCGGGAATGGAGTTCTGGGAGCGCCAAGAGCGATTTTGCGAGGATGTCCCAAGCGATTTCGGCTTCGGCGGCAGCCGTTCCGGGTCCCGCCCCGACCCCCCTGTGGAGTCATCTGCTGCTCTCTTTTGAGACCACTAGAAACCTATCAGCAAAAGCTGTTAGGTAAAATCACGATGGACAATTTGTGGCTGTTTTGGGCCTCCGGGGGCCCTTTCCGGTTCCCAGGACTATTAATTATCCCGACAAAGCAACCTAACAGCGATGTGTAAAAGCATATCTGAAAGCATTCCCCTTAAGATTCAGATGAAAATCCAGTTATAGAATTCTGCTGTTCTCGCAGTCGTAGTCGCATTCGCGATGACAGTCGCAGTGGCAACGGCAGTCGCAGTCACAGCCTCAGCCTCAGCCTGCCTCAGCCTCAGCCTCAGCCTGCCTCAGCCTCAGCCTGCCTCAGCCTCAGCCTCAGCCTGCTTCAGCCTCAGCCTCAGTCTGCCTTCAGCCTCGGCCTCAGCCTCAGCCTGCCTCAGCCTCAGCCTGCATCAGCCTCAGCCTCAGCCTCAGCCTGCCTCAGCATCAGCCTGCTCAGCCTCAGCCTCAGCCTGCCTCAGCCTCAGCCTCAGCCTGCTTCAGCCTCAGCCTCAGTCTGCCTTCAGCCTCGGCCTCAGCCTCAGCCTGCCTCAGCCTCAGCCTGCCTCGGCCTCAGCATCAGCCTGCCTCAGCATTCAAAATGTGGCCCGGGAATGGAGTTCTGGGAACTCGAAGAGCACGAAGTGGCCTACAGTTGGCTCCGGGCATTCAAAATGTGCCCGGGAATGGAGTTCTGGGAAATCGAAGAGCACGAAGTGGCCTACAGTTGGCTCCGGGCATCCAAAATGTGGCCCGGGAATGGAGTTCTGGGAAGTCGAAGAGCACGAAGTGGCCTACAGTTGGCTCCGGGCATCCAAAATGTGGCCCGGGAATGGAGTTCTGGGAGCACCAAGAGCGATTTTGCGAGGATGTCCAAAGCGATTTCGGCTTCGGCGGCAGCCGTTCTGGGTCCCGCCCCGACCCCCCTGAGGAGTCATGATGCTCTCTTTTGAGACCACTAGAAACCTATCAGCAAGAGCTGTTAGGTAAAAGCCAGTCCGGAATAAGAAACCGGTCCACGGGAATCGGCCTAGACCTCTGGAGCTTCACGCTGCGAAACGATCACGACGCCAGAGCTCTGGGAGGAGGGGAGGGATACGTCGGAGAAGGCGAGGGGGGAGGGCGTTCCCCCCTCCCCCCGCCCCCTCTGGGCCTCCAGCGGGCCCCTCGTGGCTGGAAAACCGCCGAGCAGTCACGAACATGCTCGAGCATCTCGAGCCCCTCCCGCCAGCGGCGACGACGCCGGCGCCGGCGACGACGACGGCATGGTCCCCCCTGGGGCGCCGTGCCCCCCGCGGGCTGGGCGGGCCGGGCGCCAGCCACTGCGGCCGCCGGTGCCTCGGGCGCGAGGAGGCCCCGCAGCCGGCCCGCCACCTGCCGCTCGATGGGGGGGGCTGGCAGCTCGCCGCCGCCGCTCGCCGCCGCTCGCCGCCGCCGACCTGCGGCCGCAGGTGCCGCCGCCGCCGTTCGCCGCCGCCGTCGCCAGACGCCGCCAGTGAAGTGCGGAGAGTGCACGAAGGCGGCTGGACAGTGCCTGCACTCCCAGACTCGATGACACCTGTTGCCTCACACGGATGATGACGACGATGATGACGCTGTTGATGGTGGTGATGGGAGATGAAGAGAACAGAGGAGGAATGATGACTGACGTGGGCCAGGGACGACCTGTCTTTCAACCTAGCACATGTGTGCAAAGGTAATGATGGGAAGACTGTCAGGAGGGCCAAGGGGAGGATGAGGATCCTTCTCCTCCCCTCTTCCTCCCGTCTCCTCCTCCGCTCCTTCTCCCCTACTCCCTTGTCCTCCTCCTCCTCCCTCCTCCTTCTCCTCCTCCTCCTCCTCCTCTTTCTGAACCCTTCCTGCTTCTCATCCTTGTTATCCTGCTGCTCCTCGTCCTCCTTCCTCCCCCGTCCTTCCTCCTCCCGCTCCCCCTTCCCTCATGTCCGACGATGCGAAACAATGCCATCACGACCAGAGGCTCATACACCATGTTTCTGCGGCATTTCCCAAAACCAGATCGATCTGTGAAGGTCCTGGGGCCTGAGCCTGTGCGAAAACGCTCCGCGTGAAAAACTTGCGATGCCCGGAGCTCACGGTTCAACGCCCCCTTCGTCCTCCTCGTCCTCGTCTTTTTCCTCCTCACTGCTGGAGGGCCTGGAAGTTCTGCGGCAACTCATGGGAGCCTCCCATGCCATCTTGTTGGCTCTTGCGAATCGACGCTGATCGACGCTAACCGATGCCCGTCGACGATCATCGACGCTACATCGGCCCTATCTCATCGATTACCAGACGCCAGTCGACGCTAATGCACTCTAAAAGCGGAACCATGCGGGTATACAAGGCTCCCATGATTTGCTACCGGAGGAGGGCGTCAAGCAAGCGGCAAGCGCGGCGAGTGCCTGCTCTGCGTCTGCCTGGCTCACGCAGTCCTGCTTGAGGCTCCACAGCCGCTGGCGGAGCGTTTTTTTTGTGTTTGGCTATATGTGTGTGTGTGTGTGTGCTGGCTGAGAGAGGGAGGAGGGAGGAGGGAGGAGGGAGCAGGGAGGAGGAGGAGGAGGGGAGGAGGAGGAGGAGGAGGAGGAGGAGGAGGGAGGAGGAGGAGGAGGAGGAGGAGGAGGAGGAGGGGGAGGAGATAGAGCAGGAGGCCAGCTCGCTCTCTGAGCATGGCCAGTTCTCGAGTCTCTCGAAATAGCAGTGGCCGTGGGACCTGGGAGTCATTGTGCTCCCGTCGGTGTCAACAATGGGGGAGCCCCTCACCTAGGCAACCAGCTTGGGAACCTCTTGCTTGCGGCACAGGTTCGAGAAGCCTATGCTGCCAGCAACTTGAAAAGGGTGAAACTTTGAGACATTCCCTCGCATATATACGAGGGAAGGCGAGAGAGGCACATGGGCAGCCAAGGGGGGGCTGCGGCAGGGCGAAGGAAAAGACGAGGCAGAGGACGACGAGCACGAGGGCCGAGGAGAGCGAGGACCGCGAGCAGCGTGAGGACGAAGAGGATGAGGACGAGCGGGCCTTGTTCAACAACACGCGCTCGCGGTTCTCCAAGATGGTGGCCGCGACCGTGAGGGTCTGCTCTATGTTGAAACCCTCCTGGTACGAGACCCTGTTGAAGTGCCTGCCGGGCGAGGGCCTGCCTGCGCCCACCGCGCCAACCGACTCTCTCCGCGCCGGCTGCGGGAGGAGCCGGGGACAGCGGCCAAGACCGAACGCAGAGGCACAGCGTCGAGCCGGGTCGCCGTCCATCTCTTGCTTCTGGCCTCGCAAGCTCACACCCGGGCTGAGACCTGTGCGCGCTGCCACTCCTGCGTGGGGAACGTGGGCTCGGCTCTGCTGGCCCTCGGCTCGGAGGCCTGGCCCAGAGAGCGTCGATTCGCAGGTCCTCCCCGCGAGACGGCGGCCGGCTGGCATGGACGATGACCGAGAGCGGCGTCGACGAAAGTACCCGCAACATCTCAGTCATGGTCGGCGTGTTCGAAGAAGCCCCAGGACACACAAATAAATACACACAAATAAAATGATTCCCCATATTTTCCCATATTTTCGGGGCTTTTGTCTTCCACCCCACTTCCCATATCTTCCCAATATTTCCAGGGGGATCGACGATTCATTGTGTCTGTGTGCTTTTTTTCCCTCCTGAGTGCTCCCCTGCCTCGACGCGCTCGGCCTCTCCCCGCAGCTCCCTCCGAGGCCGCGAGCGGGTGCCGCCCCCCCACTCCGCGCCGCCCGCCGCGCGAGGCGCGCGGCGCGCTCGCGGCCTCTTCGCGCCCTCGCCGCCGCCTCCAGGAGGGGTTTCATAGGGGAACAAAAAGTGGCATAAACATAAAAAAGAACTCGGCATAAACATAAAGTGGCACAAACATAAAGTGGCATAAAGTGGATTTCCCAGGGGAACAAAAAAAGTAACATACGCATAAAAAACTCGGAGGTCCGCGCGGATTTCTCGGATCCGCGCTGGGGCCCCCCGGCGGCGCCTCCGGCGCCGCCCCTGGCGCGCTCCGCGCGCCAGGGGAGGGGGGTCCAGCGCCGATCCGAGAAATCCGCGCGGACCTCCGAGTTTTTATGTTTATGCCACTTTTTTGGTCTCCTATTTTGAAGGGGCCCCAGGACACACAAATAAATACACACAAATAAAAAGATTCCCCATATTTTCTTATATTTTCTGGGTTTCTGTTTTCCAAACCACTTCCCATATTTTCCCATATTTTCTGGGGAATCGAGGATTAATTGTGTCTGTGTGTTTCTTTTCCTCCTGATATTTCACCCCTCCGGCCCGGGCCGCGAGCGCCGAGGCGTGGCCCTCTCTTCGCGCACCCCTGCCGTGGCGGCCTGCGGCCAGGCACGTCCGCCTCGCGTGCCGCGGCGGCGGCCCCGGCGGCACGCCGTGCCCTGCGAGGCGGCAGCGTGTCGCTCCGCTCCGCGGGGAGCGGGAGGCGGGGACGAGCTCGGGACGCTGACGCGTGGGGCCCGGGAAGAGGACGGCGCGTCGCTGAAGGGGCCCCAGGACACATACACAAATACACACAAATAAACATATTCCCCATCTTTTCTTTCATTTTTTTGTGGGTTTTCGTCTTCCCCCCCACTTCCCATAGTTTCCCATGTTTTCTGGGGAATCGCCGATTCATTGTGTCTGTTTTTTTTTTCCCCTCCCGAGTCGCGCCCAAGCGTGCTGGGCCAGAACCGGCGGAGCGACGCGCCGACCCGCAGCTCCCGAAAATAGTACAGCGACACCCTGCAGATGCACGGGAGCTCTCGCGCGAGGTCCGCCTCCCCGCGCACTCCTCCTCCTCCTCCTCCTCCTCCTCCTCCTCCTCCTCCTCCTCCTCCTCCTCCTCCTCCCTCCTCCTCCTCCTCTTCCTCCACCTCTTCCTCCACCTCCGGGCGCTCGTGCATCGGCGGCGCTCGACTCGATCCGATTCACCCGTTGGCGGCGGAAGCCCGAGCATCGACATCGGGGGTTTTGGGGGGGGGGTGTTCGCGGAGAGGGAGCGATCTGAGCTGCTCCTGCAGGGGCGGGGGAGCAGTCTTCCCCGAGCTGCAGCGGGCAGCGGGGATGGGCGGGCAAAAGCGAGCGGTCTGCCAGCCGGCCGCGCGGTTACGGGGCGCTTGACGGCCGCGTGTGCCGGCCGGAGGCTGCCTCATGATCAGGCCGAACTCGAAATCACTGAAGATGTGCTCCACGCGGTCCGTCCGTCCCAGGGTGCCGAAGGACTTGATCTGTTCCTGCCAGGGGGCAGTCGGACTGCGCCGAGCAGGCCGCCGCACTGGAGAACGGCAGTGGCCTAAAGATCCTTCTGAAGCTCGATCCCAGTTGCTCGCTGCGGCAGGCTCACGCGGTTCAGGGCGACTGTAATGTGAAGCTTCAGAACATGAGAAAAAGAGGACGCAGATGATACAGTCGCGGGTGCAACATAATATGCCGTCGTGAAAAGTCTAAATAGTCTAAAGCTAATCATCTGCGAGCGGGAGAACCAGCAAGCTGGGGAGGCGTGAACGAATTATGATGGAGAGCCAATGCAATAATTTCCTGATCGTTCCGTATAAGTAAGATCAGAAGCTGAAATTCACCACGTGGAAGGTTCACAAACCTCCGATTGAACAGCTGCCGAGACTCTGGAGGCTTGGGGAAGGGGGGGCGACTCAGGCTGCGAGTTGGATGCTCAGGCAAGTGCGGAAGGCCTACAAATCTCCGAGCTGGTGACGGCTAAATGATACATACTTGCGCACTTTTTCAACCGAACTCGGCTAGATTTATTAACCCCCCACAAAGCTGCGGTAAGCTTGCGGCGGATACCTGGGACATCAAGGCTGCGCTCGTCGCTTGGGACTTCCATGAAACATCTGGTCGCGTGATTTACGCACCAATGCGCGTGTCTAAACACTCAGTCACACCATTGGTCGGCGTCCTACTGATTGCGACGCGGATGACACATGACTACTTGAAGCACATGCGCTCATCAAACAACGGTCGTATCTGGGAGCATGCAAGGTTCGAACGGTTCAATATGATCGCTATAGAACGTCGGTCGGACCACGCCCAGGTTAATTACACTGGAGAGCGATGGGATCGTGGCCGACTGCAGAGCACTGCTGACAAGGGCCGACGTTATGATGCGGATACAGATCCCCCCCCCACAGATGCAGAGCAACACCGCCCATTCGATGTGTATTTGCCCACGCACCCTCCAGGCTGGCATGGAAGAGAGCGGGCCCTGAGGGAAACGGGCTCTGGACCCAGGGGCCCTCTCCCAGGGTTATGTCGGGCGTGTCCCCCTACAGGGGGATTTTCGACGACAAATCAAAAAATACTCCGAACATGCTCCAAAAAGGTCAGAAAATACTCAAAATAGTCCCCAGACTATTCTTGGATTATTTGTTGATTATTTTTGGGGCACTTTTTATTTTCCGTCGAAGCTCCCCCTGTAGGAGGACAGGCCCGACTTCAGGCCAGCTCTCGGCCCTGCGCCGTTCTCGGCCGGCTCCCGCGGCCCATGGAGAGCCCGGCGAGGCCCGGGAGCAGCGCCACGCCTCCGGACCCGCCCCCCCTCAGGACGCGGAAGCCCTCACCGCACGGCCCGCCACCGCACGCCGGTGTGACCCTTGGAGGCCCCAGCCGCTCGAGACGCCCCAGAGCCGTGCGGCCACCCCGGGCCCCCGCCGACTCGCCACGCGGTGTGGCCACCGCGCGCCTGTCGCAGAGGCCTCTCGAAGGAGGCCCGAGCGGATGGGGTCAGAGGATCTGGACGCGTCGCCGATGCATCGGCAACGTCGGCGGTGCATTGGCGACGTCGGCGTGCAGAAAGTCGGGCTCCACATCGAGCCGCATCGTCCGACCCCATCTGCTCGGACCCCATCCGGGAGGCCTGTCGCTTGGGCCCCAAAGGAATCCTTCGCGGAAGCGAGCGCGTCCATCGCCGGCCCTGGAACGTTCTCGCTCTCGAAGGCAGCCAGCAGGGTCTCCCAGAACGCTCCTCCGGGGCGAGGGGGCGGCGGGCCTAAGGGCGCGCGAGAAGAGACCTGGGCGGCGCGCCGCACGGAGGCGCGGGCGAGGGCGGCCAAGGAGAAGTCCGCGTACGTGGAGGAGGCGAAGGAGGAGGAGCAGCAGGAGGAGGATGATGATGATGAGGAGGAGGAGGAGGCGGAGGAGGAAGAGGAGGAGGAGGATGATGATGAGGAGGAGCTAAGGCCATATGCGGGATCCATCCCCCGCACTCGCCCCATGGCGCCGCGCGCGGCCGCGCGCGCGCGCTCCCCTGGGGAGGCTTGCCTTAGCCCACTGGCCGCCCTCCATGGACCGCATGCGACGCGGCCAGCGGCGCGCGGGCCCGAGGGCGTGGACGAGACGCAGGCTGGAGGCAGACATGCCGACGAGGCCGATTGATGCGGCTCTGAACTGCCTGACGTACGCGGCCAGGAAGAAGCAGAGGGTCCACTGCAAAGACGTCGCGCTGCTGGCGAGGGTGATGCTAGCAGCCTCGGACGCGAAGGAGGACGAGCACCTGACGGCGAACGGCGCTGAGGTGAAGCCCTGCGCTCAGGCACCCCGCGGCCGAAGGCCAAACTTCCATCAGCGCCTGGCGGAGTGCAAAGACATCGTCGCCGAGGTCCTGGAGCCATACCAATGTGACAAGTACGACCACTGGTACGACCACCAGTACGAGTGCAAAGGCATCGTCGACGAGGTCCTGTAGCGAGACCAATCTCACAAGTACGACCACTGGTACGACCACTAATACGACCAGTACGGCAACCCGTACGGCGTTGGCAGCTACCTCCCACACTACGACCGCCAGTACGACCACGATTTGCAGCCGCACGGCAACCTCCACCTGCCCGCGATCATCCCGGCGCCAGGCCTGGCGGCCTAGGCCACCTGCGAGGCTCAGCTGCGAGGGCCGCAGGCTAAGCTACGAGGGCCACCGGCAGAGCTGCGAGAGGCACCAGCAGGGCAACGAGGGCCACCGGCTGAACTACGAGCGCCGCCAACTGGGCTGCGAGGGCCCCCACCTGAGCCACGAGGGCCACAGGCAGACCTTCGCGAGCCAACAGCAGGGCCACATGCGGAGCACCGAGGCCCACCGGCTGTGAGCTGCGAGGGCCACCTGCGGCTCTACGAGGACCACGACTTGAGGTACGAGGTGCACAACCTGAGCCTCAAGGGCAGCAAACAGAGCTCCGAGGGACGCTACCTGAGCTACGAGAGCCCCCAGCGGAGCTTCGAGGGACACACGCCGAACTACGACGGCAAGAAGCAGAGCTCCGAGAGCCACAAGCAAGTTGCGGGGGCCACGACCAGAAACTACGAACTCAACCAGCTCTGCTACGAGGACCTCAAGCTGAACTACGGCTACCGGCAGATCTAGTAGAACCACTGGCACAGCTAAGCAGGGCAGCCTGCAGAGCAACCAGAACCATCCGCAGAGCTACGACGGCCACGGGCTGAGCTATACTAGGTTCACCAGTTGAGCTACGAGGGCACTCAACTGAGCTACGACAACTACAAGAGCGACCATCTGAACTACGAGGGGCACCTGCTGAGCTAGGAGACCCACCGCCAGAGCTATGGGGGCATCTGGCCGAACTGCGGGGGCAACGAGCTGAGCTCAGAGGAGGGCCACAAGCAGGGCTACGAGGGCCACAAGCAGAGCTACGAGGGCCACCTGCTCATCTACGAGGACCACCTGCAGTTCTACGAGGACCAACACGTGGGCTCCGAGGGCAGCTATCAGACCCCGAGGGCCATCAGCTGAGTTACGACAGCCACCAGCGGAGCTACGCGGGCCACAGGCTGATCTACGACGGCCACAGGCAGAGCTCCAGGAGCCACCAGCAGAGCTACCAGAGCCACCTGTCCTACGAGGGCCAAAAGCTGCGCTACGACGAAGCAGGTCATGCAAACACATAATTAATCTGTCTCAGACGATGGGTGAGGGCTAACTTGAGCTCCAGACATCTCCCATCCCCCATTCCCTCCCTCCTCCCCCTCCGCCCACCTCCATCAGTCACCTTCAGTCCTCCGCTTTTTCGCTGTCCGTCGCCCGTCGTCCATCGTCGTCGTCGTCGTCGCCGTCGTCGTCGTCGTCGTCGTCGTCGTCGTCGTCGTCGTCGTGGTCGTCGTCGTCGACGTCATCGTCGTCGTCGTCGTCGTCGTGGTCGTCGTTGTCGACGTCGTCGTCGTCGTCGTCGTCGTCGACCATCGTCGTCGTCGTCGTCGACGTCGTCGTCGTCGTCGTCGTCGTGCACGCCGTCGTCGTCATCGTCGTCGTCGTCGTCGTCGTCGACCATCGTCGTCGTCGTCGTCGTCGACGTCGTCGTCGTCGTCGTCGTCGTCGTGCACGCCGTCGTCGTCATCGTCGTCGTCGTCGTCGTCGTCATCGTCATTGTCGTCGTCCGCGTCTCAAAAGACCGGCCCCCGGATCTATCCTGGGGTGCGTGCTGACCAAAACTCCGAGGGGAACCGAGCCGTGGAAACGAGGCGAGACTCTTCTCCTGGCCCCCAATCACTGGCAGGCAGAAAGACCTCCAGAAACTTCGATCTCAACAGAAGGCAGAGGCACCTCCAGAAGGCAGAAGCCCTGAAGAAATGGTGGAGCCTCCAAGACGGGGTCGGAACAGATGGGGTCATAGGATCGCGCCGTCACGCACCGGCGTCGTCGACCATGCATCGGCGCCGTCGACGTGGAGAAAAAATCGGGCTCCACATCAAACCCCATCGCCGATGCATCGGCGACGCGGCGCGATCCCCCGACCCCATCTGCTCGGACCCCTCTTGGGAGGCCTGGAGCTGAACACGTGGGCAGCCGCTCCCGCTCCTGACTCTTCCGTCTCGAGCCGGTGGACCGTGCTCTGCCAGCACCCGCTCGACCGCGCCAGGCGCGCCTTGCCCGGGCGCCGCTCCTTCCTCGTTCTGCGCCCCCCCGCCTCCTCCGCGTGGCCGGCCCATCTGTGCGCGCGCTCCCCTGAGGGGCAACGACGGGGGAAGACTGGCGCTCCTCGCCGACAGGTCGGGCATGTGCTCCCGGGAGCGAACTCCCACGCTCCTGGGCGGGGTTGGCTATCGGGCCCCTGCCGGCCACGAGTGGGCGATTGGGGGTTGACGATGCGTCCTCCCTGAGCCCAGACATCATCCGATATGATTTTTCCAATGCGCGCCCCCACATGTCCCGACCCCTTCCCTGGGGGTAGTTGTGCGGCCCAGAACCATTTCTGACTGTGTCGGGGCCCGACACTGGGCCCCATAGGCCGACATTGGGGAAAAACAAACAGACTGAACAAATGAGCTCCTCGGAGATCTGGGACCCTATCCCCCCCTAACCCTGGCGTTGCCCCTGATCTCCTCCTTGTGGCCAGCTCCCTCACATTTCTTCTCCCCCGCGAGGAGGCGGCGCGGGCGCTCCGTGGGGGGGGGTGCAGGATGGATCAGGTCGTGGCCGCGCGCTGGCCGTGTAGACTCGCGGCGATCGGATAGTCGTTGCACAGGGCTACACACATATGTGTACACACGTGTGTTTGTATATATGTTTATATACATACAGTCATACAGATTTGTATGTATATATGTATGTATGTGACATAATGTAATGTAATAAAACGAGATGTAATGTCATATAATGTACTGTAAGGTAATGTGATGTAGTGCGATTGTAATGTGATGCATTGTAATGTACTGTGATGTAATGTAATTGGATGTAATGTAGTGTAAAGTAATGTAATGCAATGTAATGTATGTATGCATGTATGTGTATATTGACGTACGAATTTGTGAATGTTTGTAGGTATGCAGGTATGCAGGTATGTATGTATGTTTGTATGCATGCATGTACGTATGTATGCATCCATGCATATATGTATGTACATATATAAATGTAGGTATGTATGTAGGTATGTATATGTATGCATGTATGTATGTATGCATGCATGTAGGTACGTATGTATGTATGCACGCATGCATGTCTGTATATACATATGTATGTATGTGTGCATGCATGCAGGTATGTATGTATATACGTATGTATGTATGTATGTATGTATGTATGTATGTATGTATGTATGTATGTATGTATGTATATATGTATGTCTGTATGTATGTATGTAGGTTACGTATGTTACGCATGTTACGTATGTATGTATGTATGTATGTATGTATGTATGTATGTATGTATGTATGTATGCATGCATGCATGCATGCATGTATGTATGTATGTATGCATGTCTGGAATTTCGGCGGTGCCCCGTGGCACGAACCCCCCCCAATACTACGGGGGGGTTTCGTGCAAGCCGCACCGGGTGCCGCCGACGGCTCAGAACCCCCCCGTGTCCCTTTACCGGGGGGTTTCGTGCAGGCCGCACTGGGGGGGGCTTCGACCTGGACCCCCCCCCCTTGTGGGAGTGAGGGGGTGGCAGTGGGGGGTGGGGGTGGGGCTGGGATGCGGGTGGGGTGGGGGTTCTCTGTGGAGGTGTGGCGTCTTGGAACACCCTTGAGGTCCAAATGAGCCAATCGTGCATACCGGGGGGCTTCGTGCATACCAGGGGGGCTTCGTGCTTACCGGGGGGTTTCGTGCTGGCTACCCGGGGGTTTCGTGCTGGCTCGCACTGGCGGTGCCGCCAGCTCGAACCCCCCCAGGATGGAGTTTACCGGGGGGGGGTTTCGCTCCGCACCGGGCACCGCCGACATGTATGTATGTATGTACGTACGTATGTATGTTTTTTTGTATGTCGCTCGTACTCCAGGAGGGTCCACACGGGCGCCGCAGAGACCTACGGAGCCTCCCGAGTCCTTGTGAGCTCGACGAGAGCGAAAGCAGCACGCCGAATTTCGTAAAGATGGCCATCCCACTCCTCATCAGCGGGCGGCGGAACAAGAACACGTGCAGTGCTATAAATATGATAAGCCATCACCATCGCCTCGACACTCTGCATCGACGGGGCTCCATTGAGGCCTATGCGAGCTCTGGGGCAACATACATATATATATATATATTCATGCATGTATGTCTGTCTGTCTGCCTATCTGTCTGTCTGTCTGTCTGTCTGTCTGTCTGTCTGTCTGTATGTATATATGTATGTGTGTATGTATATATACGTGTTTGTTCGTACATATGCATGTATGCATGTATGCAGGTATGCATGTATGAATGTATGCATGTCTGTATGCATGCCTGTATGTGTGTATGTATGTATGCATGTATTTCTGTATGTATGTATGTATGCATGCATGCATGTATGTATGTATGTATGTATGTATGTATGTATGTATGTGTGTATGTGTGCATTTATGTATTGTACGTATTGTATGTATGTATGTATGTATGTATGTATGTATGTATGTAGGCATGTATGTATGCATGCATGCATGTATGTATGTATGTATGTGTGTGTATGTATGTATGTGTGCATGTAGATGTACATACCTGGCCACCCTTCGGGTGATAAGGCGGTTGGGGGCGGGGAAGGACCAACGTTTCACTTAATCGCTCTCGCTATCGGTCTCACTATCGATCTCATTATCGATCTCACCATGGATCTCACTTTCGGTCTCACTTTCGATGGCACTATCGAACTCACTTCCGATTTCACTATAGATCTCACCATCGGTCTCGCAATCAAACTCACGATCGATCCCACAATCGCTCTCACTCGATCGGTCTCACAATCGATTTCATTATCGATCTCACAATTGATCCCACTATCGATCTCACAATCGACTATCCCTCTCACTATCGATTTCACTATCCCTTTCACTATCGTTCTTACTATCGATCTCACTACCGAAATCAATATCTATCTCACTATCGACATCACGATCGATATCACTATCGATATCTCGATCGATCTCACTCTCGATCATACTATAGATCTCACAATCGATCTCACCATCGATCTCACTATGGATCTCACTATCGGCCTCGCTATCGATCTCACTATCGTCCTCACGACGGGACACCAACGGGGCACCGACAGGACACCGACGGGACACCGGCGGGGCAACCACTTAAACCGCTAGGGGTTGTGGCCTTTTGGCCCGGAGGCGCGCTGGCCAGAGGAGGGCCATTCCTCTCGCCCGCCCGCGCAACTTTGCCTCGCCCGCACGCGCGACGCGAACACGAAACCGATTTCCAGTTAAGGGGGGTCTCCGTTCCACTTCGAACGCACCTCTACCACCGATATATATATATATATATATATACATACACACATACATGCGCATATACATAGACACATACATGTGTGTCTGAATGCATGCATGTAGGTGCGTATGAATGAATGTACTGAACGAATGACTGTGCATAGCCGTAATAAGCAGTTAAGACCCCCCCCGGGTTTATCGTTAACCTCGAAAATAACATACATAATTCGTGGGGCTGATTTTCGCGGAAAAATGAAATTTGAACCCGCACATGAAATTAAACAACATACATGTCGCTGGCGGGCGCGGAATTACTTACCACCAATCCAAACGAATTGCCGAAAATGCTGAATGGATCTTAAAAGGAAGTCCCATGATTTTCTTTAGTAAGAAGTGCAATGGTTTCCCTGGGTTTTCTGTCTTGGCCTCGCGTTGGAATCGCATTCGACTTCGAGCGGGTTTTCTATAATGATCACACGAGGATCCGATTGGGATCCCATTGTAATGCATGGGGGAGGCGCCAGGTGCTTGGCAAACGCTTCCAAGGTTCCGGATGCTTTTCATCGGTTTGGGGGGGAAGGGGAGGTTCTTACTCGATTTATGGGTTATCTGTATACATATATCCACACTTACTACTTGTGTAGAGGGAGAACGAAGAGGAAGAGAGAAGACGACGGGGCGGAGGTTGAGGAGGAGGAGGTCGAAGAGGAGGAGGGGAGCAAGTAGAGGAGGAAGAAAGGACACCGAGGCCGTCAGGCGAGCCCGAGGCGCGTTGGCTCATCCTCCGCGCGCGGTCGGGCCTGCTCCATCCTGATGACGAAGCTGCCGGTGACCCGCGCGCGCCCAGCGGATGCGCGGCGCCGAGGCGTGTACTACCAGCAACTCGCGGACTAACGTGCAGCAGACACATACGATAACAGATGCTGCTCTAAGACATACTGGGGCACATTCTGCGTCGATTCCGGAGGGTCCCGAGGGGCACCCCCCAGAGCTTCTGGGAGTCCCTGGGGCCATCAGGGGGCAAGACACTTCGGTGGGGCACCTGCCGGCGTGCCGATTTCTTGTTTGACCTGGCTACTGTATGGAACAACTCAGCACGGGTGGGGGGGGGGGGGTCGCCTCGGGGGCGTCCGAGGAGGGGGATGTGTGGAAGCGGGGGGGGGGCTGTACACCATGGCCCGAGGCACCGTGCGCGGATGAGAGGGGGTCCAAGGAACGTATCATCGGAGGGAGAGGTGGCCATGACATCCATCGGGGACCCACTGACCCGAGTCAATCCAAATCCGGGTCAGTCAGGCCTTGCAAAATCCTGCAGGGTCCTCCAGGATCCTGCACCCTAGCCCGGGTCTATGCGACCCTGGCCCTGCAGGATCCTGCAAGATCAGGCGCTCTGGCTGACCCCCTTTTGCATTCACCCCCGTCTCTTGAGCCTCGAATCAAAGGAGATAACATGGCCCTGGCCATGAGATCCACCCCTCTCGTCCGCATGCCCCTCTCAGCCGCTCCCGAAATGTCGGCCTCTGGAGGCCACTTCTGGGCTCCCGGACTGTCCACAGACGGCTCAGCATGGAGTCCGGTCCCAGGCAAATGGGGTCGGGACTTCTGGGAGCTCCCCGCATCGGAAAACAATACGTCGGGCTTCTGGCTTTTCCCAAACTTGACCTCAGGGAGGAAACCGAGCCCCTGTTGGGCCTCAGCTGCGCCCAGATGCATGAGGGGCGCCAGGGGAAGACCCACAGAGGGACCTAAGGAACATCGAGCTTGGAGTACTGTCGGGAACG